AACATCAACTGCTCTTTCAGGAGTTCGCAGGTGGAAGTCAGTTTCAACCAGCAGGCGTGATTAAAGTGAATGAACTGTGAAAATGAAGCAGAAATTAAACTTCAATCAATGAGCACTTTATCTCCAGAAGCATCGACTCATCTGCTTCTCAATGAATTTTAGAGATTATAAACAAAACACAAAGGTCATCAGGTCATGTCTGTACTATTTCAGATACACTCTGTCATGTTTTTTTTTATATTTTTATTTCATCTTTTTTTCAACAAAGTTGACTCTGTTCATGTGGTTGCAGCATTTTCAGTGTGAGAAACTTTCCCTCCTTGAAGTGACTTCTTCAGCCTTATAAACACTGCAGCTGCATAGTGATTGAAACCAGCACCACACTGAGCCAGTTTCGTGAATGTCAAAAAAGGGAACAGCCATCCCTAAGATGAGAATCTCACCAGCTTACACTGCTGTGTATCCCTCATGGCCTCTCATCAATAGTCACAACAGTTTGGATATTAGCGATCAGATGAACAGAATCTACATCAGGACAATCAGCTCGCAAACTGAAAGTAAACAACAAGTGAAAGCAAAACTAAACAGTGAATGAAACAGAGCAAGAATAAATTCTTCAAATAAGGAGGAAAAAAAGAATAAGAACAGTTTAATCACCAGATTTTCTTTTTCTCAGCTTTACAAAGTCATCCAGGTTTGGCCCCATCAGACTGCAGTTTAATACTCACGAACGCCCCGCTGTTCGCTCTTTCTGCAGTCTTTCTGGTAAAATGTCGCCCCCCTTTGGAGACAGTTTAAGTTAACTACTGAAGAGGACTCACCTTTAAGTTTATGCTGCATCATTACTTTACTGGAACCACAGTGTCATTCTGCATCTGCTTGCAGCTACCTCATCTTTAATGAACCCACCTCGAGGGCCATGTTCAAATAGTCAGATAGTTTTGTTCAGGAACGTTTATAACTGAGAGAAGTGACCTGGAAGTGTCTGTATGGTGACAGGTACAAATGCTCTACACACAACCAATGAACTTGTCTTTTAATGTAACATGAGAAGCCAATTAAAATTATGTTTGCAAAGTGCTTAGTACATTTGGAAACAACATATGGTTGGATCGATACAAGCATTGATGCCATACCGACATACTAACTTGACGGGATCGATACTTTAGTTTGTGTCTCTTCTCAGCCATGTCTGCACACACCGCTCCTCCTCCTCCTGATCTGCTCTGTTGTTGTGTCCTGTTGGTCAGTCACGCGACACAGAGGCACTTATCAATTCGTTAAATAATAAAAGTTGTCCTCTCTGTTTAGTCCAGTGAACAGTTTTTTGTTTTTCTTTTACAGCAATGGCGATTCATGAGATGTGTCTGCATACTCTGATGAACGAGGTGATAAACACTCCTCCAAAAGCATACTTCTCTTCCAAGGACCTACCGCAGCTCACAAATGGCTCACTTGATTATGGTCGGGATCTGAATGAGACGTCCAGTGGAGGTGGAATATTTTTTTTCAAATAATAGCAGACAGCCCAAGTAACTGCTGTCAGCATTTTCTCAGTTATGTTGGATAAATGGATAAGTATTACTGCTACATTTGTGTTTGTTGCTGCCGTAGATGTTTATATGCCATATATATTCTGAGGTAAGTTAATTGCAGCATCAAATTATATTTTATAAGTATGTTGTTTCATAGTATCTCTGTCCTGTTAGACCCATTAAAAACTGTCCTAATAACAGCTCTGAGATCTTTTCCATCAGACCAAAGAGAGTTATGACATGTCATGATTTTCTCATTTAATAAAGGAATATTTACATCAATTTACCTTCATTTCTATCACGAACCCACAGAATTATCACATCTTCTGATTTGATTTTGCATTTGATTGTTTTTTTGTTTTTTTTATTGTAGCAGACTTGTAACTTTAGACTGTGCAAAATGCTGCAGATTTGGCTTCTCTTCATTGCCTGTAAAATTTAGGTTTTGCTTTTAAATCCTGAATCCACTGACTATTTTAAAAAGAATCTGAAGAAATATTTATACAGATAAGCGTTCAATATTTTTTTGTTTTATTCTATTGATTTACATTGATATATTTTTTTCTAATTTATTGTGAAGAATTTTGTGATTTTTTAAATCTGTTTATCTAGAGTATTTGGTGCATTCTGAGAGGAGGAGAGTTTTTAACTATCTTGAGATATATGAACTAAAATCTGTTAATAATTAATAATTGTGATAAATAATCAAATAATAATTAATAACTTTGATGTATGCAGTTCTGTTGGGTTTACGACTGTTATCCCCACTTTTTCCATGTATTTATTAGTCAACCAAACTTGCAGTAAAACAGCCAAAATCCTGTTCAGCTGTCTGAATAGGACAGCTGCAAAGATCAGCTGAAAATTGTCGAGTGCTGAAACCTGGACGAACAGAACAGTGATTTGTAGAATGCTTCTGATTTCTGAACATTTTTCTATCAGCAGGTTCTTAAGTTTGATTTATGCTTTTTTAAAACAGCCTAAATCCCATAGGTCTGTCTGTGTTTTTAGTAAAGGTTTCTGAAGAGGTAAAACCAATTAAAATAACTAATATGTAATTTAATGTAATAATTAAACGCAAGTTGGAGCTCAGCAGTAGTGAAATGAGGCAGATGAAGTGAAAATGAAGAGTGTTCACTTGTGGAAAAAAGGCCAACGAGTTCGTGTACATGCTTTTTGTCCACTAGGTGGCTCCTTCTGCTCATTTTCTCTGTGTGACAGTTTTCTACACCCATGATGAAGAGTTTTCTTTCAGCCTCTCTGCTCACTTGAATGCTTGCTCCAATACTAAGATCAGCATTAACTTGCTGCTAATAGAAACTAAAATCAGTGCAAAACCACCAAGAAAAACAACAGGTTAGGAAACTTTTCAAACTCCACCCACTTTGACTGAATGAGCGGCTGCTGAACAGAACCTGATAAAACTGTTAATGACATTGAACTTCCAGAAACTTCCAGCAAATAAACCAAAGCAGAACCATTAGATTGGTAGAGTGCAGGACGATCTTCCTGTGAGACGCAGCTCAGGGCAAACAGTGTAGTGTATAAAATTTCATTATTTAATTTTGTCCATGTGTAATAATGTGTAATCAAATTCTCCCATTATTTTTTCATTAAAAGATGGTATTCTAGATACTATTACTTTAATTGTGGAAGACCCATCTCTTTTGGGAGCTGTTGATGGCTGCTTCAAAGTATATTTTGTTTTGGATGTAAGTTACCCAAAGTCATGTGTCCAGGTTTGGGAATTTCTTCACACTGTCATCTATAAAACTCGCGACATGAATCAAATATAATAAAATGAAAAATAGCTCAATTAGCTATGATGGAAGAGTAAAATGTTGCTCATAAAGGTGCATGAAATGATCTGAGACAGAGTTTCCCTGTTGCCATTTTTCTGAAGTGTTGAGTTGAGTTTGTATATTAAGTTTTTTTAAAAATCCCAAATCACCCCTGGTTTAATGATTGAAGTTTTTACATGTAATTTGTTCTAAAACAGAGCCAGGTAGTTCTAACCCAAGACTGATTTGTAGTAATATACTTTTGCTTTATAAAAAAAAATGTTTTGCTTCTATTATACTTTCATTGTTTGATATATTTTGTACGAATTTCACTGTCTACATATTTTATGTATAATGTGGCAATAAAAGTAGTTATATTTATTTTTATCATTATCTTTAATTGTCTTTAACCCATTTTTTATATGCTGAATTTAGGGGAAACAAATATTTAGTTTTAACTCAAATCTTAATGGTAATATAACCCTTTTGAGTTTCAACACAATTTTTTGTAATCTTAACTTTAAACACTAATCAATTAACCCAATTTTTGGGTAGTTAGCCTAACCCAGTGTGCTGGATCAAACCAATAACCCAACCCTGTTGAGTTGAAACCAGCCAGGGTTGGCTGGGTCCAAATTGGGTTATCTTTAACCCAAGCAGTTTTTAGTGTGTACTATACTGTAAATCTATCATTTTAACTTCCCAAAGCTGGAAAATTTAAAACCGTGTTCAAAAAACAGTTGAAACATAAGTATTCATTTTACTGCTTTAAAAGCTTTAAAATGATGATTATAAAACAATCAAAAGTCATAATGAAACTCAGTAATTATCATGTTTGGTAATCAGGTTAATGCAGTTCAACTCCCATTGTTAAGTCCTTGTCTGGTCTTATTGATGATTGGCTGGCATCATCAGCTCATCTGTGTCTTCCAGACCAAAATATTCTCTCTCTCTTCCACTCCAGCTGGCTATTAGTGGTTTTTATGTTTAATTTGTGTTTAATGTATTAATGCTTAATTTATAAGTAAATCTAATTTATATTTAATAATATTTTATTTAAGCAAACCTCTATTGTGGACTCCCTCCTTGCCACCTACTTTTAGCCATCCTTAGACCCATTGGTAAGAGTAACGTGTGAGCTTGATGGCTAAGAAAGTTTGTGCTTTGCTAAGTGCTTATCTAAGTTGAAATGCTATTTCAGTGCAGCATAAAGTAGTTATTGTATTTTATGGTATAGTATTTGGCTACGTGACCAATATCCTGGATAAGTCCACATTTTGTCACCAGCTGCCTCAAGTTGATCAAATGAAAACACTTGAAAACAAACACACTGTTATGCCCCAAAGGCCACGGATCAGATCACCGCCCAACACACATTACACCCCACTCCTATGATGCCTCATGCGGGTGGTGGCCCCACAGGCCCATGTCTCTTCTTCAGGCTGTGCCCAGTCACCAGATCCTTCCTTGAGCTCCGTTCCCAGACTTGATTCCAGGGTGAGGTCCTGGGAAGCCTATCCCGGGTTGGGTTAAATAGTCCCTTGATTTGGTTCCTTTGGGGTTGACCAAGATGAAACCCAGGGCAGACCCAGCATACACTTGACAGATTAAGTGTCTCGGCTGGCCTGCGAGCACCTCAGCGTTCCTGCAGATAAGCTGGAGGAGGTGGGTGGGGAGAGGGAGGTGTGGGCTTCTCTGCTTTGGCTGCTGCTACCGTGACCCAGACCTGGATAAGTAGAAGAAAATTAAATGATTGATGGATAAACGCTGCTATTACTGTATAAATAATGTTTATTTTTGCTTGTTTGTATATTTCATTTCTCTTATTTTGTGTATTCACGTCTCTTGTTCATAAGAGCTGAATCACAGACATCGTCACCTTCTGGTGACCTATAATTACAATATTATAGTTGTAATTACAGTTCTTTTATAACCACACAGCTTCCACAAACTGTGTGTAAAGTAAAGTTTATACTGTACCATTTTCAGTGTTTTTAGACCATCTGATGGACTCATAGACACAACGGTCATCTGCAGGTCAAAGAAAATTAGTCTTCTCATTTCTGTGAGCCTAATTTAAGCATAAGTATTCATGTAAGTAGCATTTATATTAAATGTTGATATTGTTGTAGCTTTGTTTAATTCAACAGTGTTAAAACCGCAGCAGATGTTAAAGTACAGTCTTGCAAATTGCTTCAGAATATAGTCTATATTTGAACCAGAGAGAATGCTAACCATGAAGAAGAGAGGAGTATACTTGCTGTTGATCTTCTACCTGACTGACCCTCTGGTCATCAGTACAACCTTTAAAACAAAACAAAAAAAGATTGAAATAAGACATTTGCTTTTGCATGGTTGATTTTTATACATTGTTGTGAACAGTTTCCCATGCCTGTATGCTGAATCTGTGTACTTAAACATTTAAAGAGTAAAATATCTTATATCAGAGGAACAAAAATGCTCACCTCTGGATTTTCTGTAGCAATAGAACAAGAGCAGCAAGAATATAAATATGACTCCAGAAATTATTCCAATGATCATCAAAATAAGAAATGAAGAGCTTTCAGGACTGGGCACAGCTGTTGTAAATTAGAAACATGACCTGTTAACTTCAATCACCTCAAGTGGATTTGATGTTTGAATAACAATGAAAGTTGACTTCTAAAGAAAAATAGATCAACTAAACAGGCAACCAAGACAGCTCTGCAACATCAAGAGCACTACTCTCACTATATGTTTAGGTTTAGCCAGGCCTATCTAGCATAGGGTGACCAACCATCCTCTTTTCCGCGGACATGTCCTCTTTTCATGTTCTGTCCGGGGGGGGATTTTCGAGATTGATAAAAATATCAGAGTTTTCCTACATTATGACAGTGGACCCATGTGTGTGACGTCATCCCCGAACTACTGCTTTGTTCTGCGCTCACAGACTGGACAGACAGCGCACAGCAACGCGCTTAATGATGTTTAAAAGATCCCAAAGTGCAAGTAAATCTTTTCAGATGAACTGCAAAAGAAATTTCCCTGGTACTGAACCAGTACTGGTAATTTTTCTTATTCAGAGGAGGCATTATTTCTGTACCATTATTTAATTCCAGGGGCTTTTAAGTTATTTCTTTGCACTTGTTGACTTGTAAAAGCCTGTGTGACATATTTTATTTCACAACCGCAAGCACAGAGAAGGCATAGTTTAAATATGTTAAATATGTTTCTTTAAGCAACTTCTTCATGACTGAGCCAAGTGTCCTCTTTTTTGGAAATCAAAATATGGTTACCCTAATCTAGCATCCTCCCCTGTTACCTGATGCAAATTACCACTGACTGGTGATTAGTTAATAAATAGTACACTTTCAGTAACTTGCCAATTTTGTCTTTTGTGGTCTACATTTGGGTCCTCACCCTAAGAGAATCCACACAATCTGCCTCCACATATCGTGACAAACCCAGTGGGAAGCAATCCTCTCTTTCACTGGTAAAAAAAAAACACAAACACATGCAGCAAGCCGAGGGTACTAGGATATCCACCCCTGTCTGGCAACTCTTGCCAAAGGGAACCCAAGAGTTTCTCCAGGAGACTCCAGATTGAGGTGAGCCCAACTGTAGCTCTGTCAATCTGTCAAACTCATGCAGTAGCTCTGCCTCCTTCCACAGCAGAGAGGTAATTGCTAGTTTCAGCAACTGGGAACTGGATACCTAAGTCATTTGACTTTGCCTTTAAGAGAGTGGATACTCCTTAACACAACAGCCAGCAATGATAGCTAGGAGCTGGGGATGTTACTGCCAAGGTCTCCACCCTTGATCCCCTCTTGACACACATTGCATTTAACTCCTATGGCTCCTCCTGTGAATGGCAGAACTGAAAGGGAGGTCAGTGTTGGCCTCACAGGCCTCAGGCCTCACAAAATCTCTGTATCTCAAAAAAAAAACAATATGATTTGCTTTCTAGACCATTTACTTCATCCTGTGCTGACCGTTGTTATGTTTGTAAAATGTAGCTCAACAACAAACATGACTTACTTGATGCTGACAAGTTGAAGGCTTCACTCCACTCTGTTGAAGAATATGAGTCACCTCTGCGTTGACTCTTACACATGTAGTCTCCACTGCTGGACTCAGAAACATTGAATATCCAGTAATTATTGTGAGTCCACTGTGTGGTCTGGTTGGGTCCTCTCCATCTATACTCCCACTCAGTGGTTTCACCTCCTTCCTGCACCTCACATGTCAGACTGATCGTCTCACCGCTGAATATCTGAGGCCAGCTCGGTCGTCCTTTAACAACAACCTTATTGGAAATTGTTTACACATATTTACAGTTGAGATACAAACAAACAGAAAATCAACAGAAATATTTTAGTATTGAGTTGGTTGATAGTGACGAGTGAATGTACAGTGTAAGTGTAAAAAGTGTCTTCCCCTTCCTGATTTCTTATGTCTTGTATTTTCAACTTAAATGTTTCAGATCATCAAACAAATTTAAATATTAAACATAGATAACAAAAGTAAACACAAAATGCAGTTTCTAAATATACTTCTTTATCATTAAGTATAAAAAAAATCCAAACCTTGTGTGAAAAAGCGATCGCCACCTAAACCTAATACCTGGTTAGGGCGTCCTTGACAGCAACGACCCCGGATTTAGATTCAGTTATTCCAAACTCTTCATTTTGCTTTTCTTAACCCATTCAGAGGTGGACTTCAGTTCAATTTTATTTTATTTATACAGCACCAAATCACAATAACATTTGCCTCAAGGTGCTTTATATTGTAAGGTGAATACAAAGTAAACAGAGAAAACCCCAACAACCATATGACCCCCTATGAGCAACAGTAGGAAGGAAAAACATGCTGTGGAAGACAGCCAGAGATTACTGGTGTGATTTGGATCGTTGTCCTGCTGCAGAACCCAAGTGTACTCCAACTTGAGGTCATGAACGCATGGCTGGACATTCTCCTTCATGGTGTTTTTATAAACAGCAGAATTCATGGCTCCATTTACCACAGCAAGTTTTTCAGGTCCTGGGGCAGCAAAACAGACCTGGACCACCACACTAACACCACCGTAGTTTACTGTTGGTGTTCCATTTCTGAAATGCTGTGTTACTTTTAAGCCAAATGTAATAGGACACACACCTTCCAATTAGTTCAACTATTTTCTCAAAGTATTTTCCTAAAAGTCTTGGGGATCATTAAGATTTTTTTAATTTTTTTTTTTGGCAAAACTGAGACGAGCCTTAATTTTCCTCTTTTTGTTGTTGTTGTCTTAGAAATCTGCCATGCAGGCCATTTCTGACTAGTCTCTCTCTTAGGGTGGAGGCATGAACACTGACCTCAACTGAGGCAACTGAGGCCTGACAGACCGACCTTCAGCAGGTCTGGCAGTAATATCAAGGCAGTATATAAGGCCTTGATATGGGAGTGAAACTAAACTCAGCGTTGGAATAAAAAAATGTGGTTGATCACAGTTAATAATATTATTTAACAAGGTGGGGGCTTTTTCCACACAAGGCCAGGTAGGTCTGGATTTTTCCTCCTTTAACTATAAAACTTTTCAATTAGAATCTTTATTTTCTGTTTACTTCTGTTATCTGTTTCTAATATTACACTAAACTCGATTTATGATCTGAAACATTTAAGTGTGACAAACATACAAAAAATAGGAAATCTGGAGGGTCAAACACTTGTTCACACCACTGCCCATTTCAAATAAAACTTTTCAACTCACAGGTTATCTCAATGGTGACATCACCACTTTTATCAGTGTAGTAAACTGGGTTTCCTCTTCTTCCTCTGCAGTGGTAGATTCCTCCTTGAGATACTCTGATTACTCCGTTTTGTTGATCATCTGTTCTCGTTTGAACTTCAGTGTTTTGGTCACGTCTGAACCACTCATATTTCCAGCCAGCAGAGCTCCCCACAGAGCAGTTCAGTGTCACACTGCCCCCTACTGGTATGATAGTTGATCCTGGAGTCAGTGTGGCCCTGGGTTTACCTGCTGTTAGGGGGAAATAAAATATGTATACATGTGATCTATTATGAAGTATTAAGAACACAGGTCCTGGATAAAGATTTTTTTCAAAGCTCCTTCCATGAACACATTAATTAAGTGTACACTCTATTTTATAATTTAGATGAATATTTGAATTATTATATTAACCTCTTAAGCCCCAAGCCTACCTGATCTCCTGCTTTTTGCCCCCGTATCAGGGGGCGTTGGGGCTTAAGAGGTTAAGTATATTATATTTATTGGTCATGGTCACTGAGGACTTACCCAGCACAGTTAGGGAGACAGTATTACTATTCTTTGTATGATGTGAATTCTTCATATGACCAGAGCACTGGTATTTACCAGAATCAGATGTAGACTTAATTTGTTTTCTGTAATTTTTGTATGTGTTGTACGATGTAAAGGCTCGGCCATCCTTGTTGAGTTTGTATTCCCAGTCAGTGTGTTTTCCTTCTTTCATGTCATTTCATGTCTCTCCAATGAACATGGTTGAGCTGGGTTCAACAGTTAGCAAAGCATCTAATCCAACACAAACACAACATCATTGACCTGAAACACTTTAATGTACTTTACAAAAAAGAATCTGTTCTGACATGTTCATAAACTTATAAATATATTGAGAAATAAAAACAGAAATGGAAAGTGTTTAAGATTGATGCATTAAGATGAATATTTACTAAATAAATGAACAGTGAAAACTGTTCAGTCACCTTTCGTGTGTCCGCTGCAGAGGAGCGTACAGAGAACTGCAATAAAGGAAGAAACTTCACACATCATCAAACTGAAGATTCACTCAAACATGGCATCAATCAAACACACCTGGTGTTACCAGTGGCTGCTATGGTTGGTTTAAATTATATATTTAATGTAAAATGCATCAAATTATCACTGATGAAGAAACAAACCTTTCTTAGATAAACTAAACCAGCGTCAGTGCACTGAAATCTAATCCCGTCTACAAACAACCATGTTGATAACAAAACATGAACTGAAATGCTGCAAATGACTGAAACTCTGTCATTTTACTGAAACATGTTCATCAGTCAATGAATCAAAGGAAGAAGTGATGCACTCACAGAATAGGCCCAGCTCACAGAGGAAAGTGGGTCCCATCCTCACATCCAGCTGTGACACGTCTGAAAACTTCTACGACTTTGTGTGAAGAGAAAGAAGAAGAAGAAGCACACGAGACGCTGAGAACTGTGAAGAAAACAAAGACTTTAAAACTTCTTCTTCTCTCCACTTCCTTCCTTTTATCACACCCTAACAAACTCTGTCTACAGCATGCTTTGACATGTTTGGTGCTGCAGAAACAAATTAGGGAGATTTTTATGAAACTAAGCAATAATAATCAAGTTGCATCATACAGATGTGAGCTGAGTAGTGAAAGAGACAAAATGAGCAGGTTACATGTCATTTTGTTTCCTTTGTCTGCTCCTCGTCTGCTTGTTGTGTTTGCTAGGAGCTTTGCCACCAATAATAGTTACTCTCACAGATGCTCCAGCACACAAACACATCATTCTGATGGGTTCAAACTGCTGCAGAAAAGTGATTAAAAGCATTAGCAAGCAAGAGAACATACCTTTAGTATTTTCCTCCTGCCATAGATAATCATCCAGTCTTGAATTGCTTCTTATGCATTAAATGCTGTTGCACAAAATCATTAAATTGCTTCAAATATTAAATAAATGCATTTTCATCTAGCTTAGCCTCATAGCTTCATCTATCAGTTGACAAATAGCGGTGTCATACTCACCATAAGCAGATGTTCACATCAGTTAATCCATGCACTCTCTCACACAACAATGAAATCTGTAACTAAAAAATTTACTTTTTCATCTTAATTGATAAAACTGAGCTTTACTAATGTAGATTATTCCATTAAACCGCTGTAAAATCTTTTAACTTGTCTTTCCCTTGTGATGTTCTGGTTTCATCATATATTGATTTACAGGAAACGGACAACTCAGACAGTAACAGAAGTGAGCGTGAGAGGAAGTCGTCCTTTTTCTGAACTTGCCACTGTTGCCTTACACTTCGCAGTAAGTGGGTTTAGAGGTGTGAAACGACAGACATTTCCTGTCTCATTGCCCAAAGCAATGAGACATAAGCAGCAGTTTTATATATAAAAAAAAAATCCCAGCTCGCCCCTGTGGGCGGTCAATCCTTCAAGCTCAGGTCCTCTACCAGAGGCCTGGGAGCTTGAGGGTCCTGTGCAGTATCTTAGCTGTT